GAAAGATCAATTTTGTTTGAATGTTTGGAATGTTACRATTCAGTAAAATCTGCTTTGGGCGGAAATATTTAATTGAACATTACATACTATACTAGATTTACCAAGTTTTAAAAATAAAGCAAATCTTTAACCATATTGTAATTTTTAATTTTATTGTATTTTTGTGTTCAAATTTTAAAATGAATAAAAACTCAACAACAACTTAAATAATATAGAAAAAAATAGAAGTAAATTAACTTCTTTCTATAMAAAATTACTTTTTTTTTTAATGCATTTGCCTATATTTTAGATTCTGGCGACTTATTGAATATAATGGATTCTTTTAATAAAACTATGGAAGGGCATAAAGATTTTATTAGAGAAGAAAAAGAAAAACAAAGAAAATGGGAGGAAGAACTATTAAAAGCAGACCAAGAACAAGCGCAGAAAGATAAAGAGGAATTCACCAGCCTTCTTACTAGTTTACTGAAGCCTAGAGATTAATTAATTACCATTATGTATGTATATTTAAAATAACTAAATAAAATGTAAACCAAAGACTGGAAAATAATGCAATAAGATAAGAAAGTATTAAGTTAATTGTTTTGTTTTTAAATGTATAATAAAGATGTTTTGAACTGTGAGTCTTATATTATAATGTTGTACTGATGATTATCTGGATGGATAGATATTATACATTTACTGAACATAAATACTAAATAAATACTACAACATAAATAATATACATTATTAAATTATTAATATAATTTATAAATAATATAATAGTTGTGTTTTGTTATTATAAGTACATACTRAATGTGTTAAGTTTAGAAACCAACTATAAGTCTATATAATATGGTGAAAAACGATTCTGAGTGAAGATATACCAAGATTGCTATACTGGATTAGAAATAAAATACTAGGTTTAAAGAATAAAAAAATTTTCTTTATTATTAAAAAAACACAAAATAACGGTAAAATACATTTATACATTTATATTGAAGCATAATTATTAGAATAAAAGTAAATTGTGATGTTTTTTGGTTATGAAAAGAACCGTTTAATAAGATTGAAACAAATAATCTTAAAAAAGACTATTTAAAAATTTAATGCTAAGTCCTGAAAAGAACTGTTTAATATAATAAAAATCAACGCTTATTCCTGAAAAGAACTGTTTAATGTAGTTGATGTGAATTGTCCTAAAAAAGACAAGTTAAGACTGCTTCTATATTGTTTTATGCAAATAGGTACAAGGTCAGAACAAGAAAAAATGTATTTAATTTATTTAAATATGGTTTAATATTTTTAATTTAGAAAGTTTTGCTAATTTTGAGGTAGTTGAAAATAATTTTGTTTTATTAAATATTTTACAAATTAAAAGTTGTTCAATTATGTACATTTTATGATCTATGCAGTTTGTCAATGATTCATCAAGCCATTTTTTAATTGTATTATTATTTTTTAAGCGCTCAGTTAGTTGAAATTTTCTTTTCTTTTTATGTAAATAGTTTTTATAATTGTTTTCAAAAACGTAAAAAAAAAAAATAGTAATATTTTTATTTGGTGTGACGTGTGAAAGGGGGGTGATTTTTGTTGAATATATTAAAGGGCTTGAGCCCCCGCCAATGTAACTCCCTATTTGCGCCTATTTATTAGTACCTTATTAATATTCAATTCAATTTAATTTTTTTTAAATTTATGTTCTTCAAACACCAAATTAATTAATTGATATATTGTGGGTGCTTAATCACATTCCTTTATAGTTTTAAATCTAATGACATATTGTGCTGTGTTCTTTCTTCATACATATTTATTTATTTGCATAAATTTCAAGAAAGTAAAAAACGATGATGCACTGAAAGAAGTAGACATAGACATCACAAATAATAAATTGTCTAATGATTCTGACGAAAGCTCAGAAAAATGTAAGTCTATTTTAATTAATACATTATAATATAATAATGTGTACATTTGATTGTTTTTCAGCTTTATTTGATGATAGTGATACTGACAAAAATTATGAATTACCTACCGCTACAGCCGAATGTTCCAAAAAATGTATACTTAATTATGGTAAGAGTAAGATTAAAGTTTAAGTTATGTCCCTAAAATGTATGTTGAAAAAATGTATATTTAGAATCTGAAAATGATGATACTATTTTCGCTGCAGCTAAATCAACTGCAGTTTTAAACMAGCAGCTGGGTATGTATCATATTATTTATTGAAATTTAAGTATCACTGTTTTCGCCACAAACGCTCCTGCCATGAGGTTGGCGTCTGCGACTTGCACCTAAACTGGAAAGCTGCTAAGGGATAGTGAACATAATATATGGTATACGATTGATAAATGGAACAATATCCTTTTATAAGACCTCTAAATATATATATTAATTATGCTAATATGAAATATTGACAACATTTACCCACCAGTGATGGCCAATCTACTGGGAGGTAATACATAAAAATATAACAAATGCTGAATTAATACAAATAATATAATAAAAGGGGGAGACAACTGATCGTACAATAAACAATACACAAAGGGGGGAGGATAACACACACACACACACACACACACACACACACCAATATAGCGGAACCCGGCCGCTGTCCGAGCTGGAACGGGGGAGAGTGGAGGTAGCGTCCTCACCCAGTATGACCAACCTCACATATGCTGAGCTAGCAGTGCGGTCTTACTTCGTGCACAAACAATCACGTTAATATTTACAGTTACGTATTTTTTTATTAGATTAGTATAAAAAAAGTCCAACATTGAATATTACGCCTATCTCCAAAAAACATACTACAGCAAACAGGGTTGTTTTTCATGAAACAACAAATGATCCGTGAGATCAGGGAAACTAGCCGTCATCTAGGATGTCTATCCTATCCCAAGCACAATTGTTGAAAACTATGCTGGATCCGAAGATTAGGCACCTACCGAGCATATCTGGCATGTCTGCTAGTGTTGGATACTTTAAACATGCCTATTGTCAAGGAAACTTCACGATAACTGGATTAATGTCCAACAAAACTGAACCTGACACCAATGTCTCTATACTTCTGAACTTCTGTAAAATGGTTGAATACGCAGTATGGAACATGCCAAAGGCCAAGCAAAGTGAATTCAGGGCGCAGATAAACTCCACAAAAATAATGGGCATGAAGGTCACTGACCTCTTGAGTCAACATGTATCAACAGGGATCATGTGCCTGAGATTTGTTAGAGTATTAATGAGAAAGTATGATGGTTTCCGAAGTCAAGTCAGTGACCTTCTCTCCAAACCCTGTCGGGAAAATAACAGCCTTATTACATAGAAACATGAAAGGAGTGTCGTTCCGTGTATATGAGAGGGAAGAGCGAGTGAACTTCAAGATCAAGGGATGTCAGGGTCAGTTCACTCATAGCGGTATACTAATCACATCAATAGTATGTAATACAACTGGTTCATATCAGATAAGAATGGCACTAGCATCCATCGGAGTTTATTGCAAAGTGGGATTTAGAGAGAATCAAGAAGCCAACCTGAAGAGGATGCAGGATACACAATATGATATGTTCTGTGCCAGGCCTTGGGAAGTCGCTAGGTGTTCAAAGTACGAGTGGAATGCATTAGTAACCACTAAACCTGGCAGAGCAGGAGAGTTAACAATTAGAATGGTGACCGAGTATGAAGAGGGCAAACCACTCAACTGCTACTAGAATGAATCCTTTCAGATAATATTTGAAGACAGAAAGTAAATAATATCGACGAGGCCACCTAAGCCTGATGAACCAATAAGCACCCTAGTTGACATGCCTCTTGGACCCTTGGAAAATTTCTTGACAGGCCCGGCAAAACTGAAGAGGAGGATCCTCCACTATTGTAACAATAATTACCCGAGGTCTAAATAGGTAATAAGTAGAGGTCGGATTTATATTCTCTTAAAATCCTTAAAATATGATGTTTTTATGTCGCATAAATTAGGCAATATATTMTYTTAATATTCTTTTAAAATACYAGATATATGATGTTTTATGTCCTTAAATATGCAAAATATTCTTTTAATATTAAAAAAAA